AGCCAAATAAATAAATAAATAAATAAATAAAATAGTATAAAATGTCCTCAATAGTATATTTTGATGTTTCATTCTTTCCATGATAACCTAAGAATATTCCTTCATAGGGATGCATTTTCTCTGTAGAAATTTTTTCTGCTGCCCTCATTCCTAACCTCTTTGTGCATGGGACCCATATTTCGGCACACATCCAGCAGTTAATTCTCCATCTGACTACCGAAGCGATAGACTGAAATAAAAACAGCCAAGATCCAGGGCAGCAGCTTACCCTTCCTGGTGTGCAGAGCAGTAACAACCAAATGAAGACGCATTAAAATGCGATAGGACTTCCTCTCCGTGGGCACAGTCTAAAAAACACAGCCAGAAATATTCCTGCCCTTTCAGTCTGCTTTGCCCACTGGTTCTTCTTTTTTCTACTCAGATAACCAGCACACTGTAGATAAGTTCGTGTACAAATAAATGGGAACGCCCGGATGCTGGCCGAGTAGTTTTCGGATGTGAAGAGAACTTTTAGGCATTGTGAACTCAGGGTACTTTTTGCTGAGCAATGATCTCCACCCACTTAAAATCAGGCCCTGGGGGAACAGGAGTGATTTCAGTGCACTCATTACATGCAGTTAGATCCCTGAAGCAAAAGCTTTTAAAAGCACGCAATAAAATGCCCATGCATCTTCATTAAACCTCTTTTCTAACTAGACATACTTTTCTAGTAATTTTTAATTTTATAAAGTCTATTTTTTTCCCTGGGCCAAGGAAAAAAAAAAAGGCCCGGCACCAAAAGCTTAGATATAACAGTGTTAGTTTTTCTCTCTCTAAATGATTAAATGCAGCTTCATACAGCTGGTACAGTAATGCTGTGATCGTGGCGGCATTAGATGCTGCTGCTAGAGAGACGCAAAGGAGAACTAAGTAGAATGAGGCTGACCGTTTGTTTTTACTTTCTCCAAGTTAAAAATTCCCAATACGTTCAAATCAACAATAAGAATAATTGCAAAACCGTCTCCTGAAATGGAAGTAGATTTTGTTCCCAAGCGTTAGCAATTTCTTGTTGTATTTCAAAGTCAGCCACTAAGGCTTTTAAAGCTTCTTGGTGACTGGCTGTTGCAGCAGGAATCAGAATATTAACCTTGAGGCTTTATTGCAGAATTCGCTGCCAGTAAAGAGGCGCCATGAGGACAGAAGACTTTGAGCTGCGCCATTTCTCAAGGTGGTGAGGTGGGCAGGCAGCTCTAGAATTAGGCCCACGCTCTCTACTCTCCATGTTAAGCAGATCGTGGGGAAGAGACATTAATTTTTACTAGGAGATCAAATATAAAGTAAGTTGAAGTTACTCTGAGTTATTTTATAATTGAACTTGCTATGAAGTTGACCTTCTGAAGTTTCCGTTGGTGCTCACATCTTAAAACAGGGTATTCCGAAATCAAGTGATTTGTAGTGAGGTGGATGGACCTAGAGCCTGTCATACAGAGTGAAGTAAGTCAGAAAGAGAAAAACAAATACCGTACGCCAACACATATATATGGAATCTAAAAAAAAAAAGGTTCTGATGAACCTAGGGGCAGGACAGGAATAAAGACGCAGACGTAGAGAATGGACTTGAGGACGTGGGGAGCGGGAGGGGTAAGCTGGGACGAAGTGAGAGAGTGGCATGGACACATATACACTACCAAACGTAAAATAGATAGCTAGTGGGAAGCAGCCTCATAGCACAGGGAGATCAGCTGGGTGCTCTGTGACCACCTAGAGGGGTGGGATGGGTAGGGTGGGAGAGAGACACAAGAGGGAGGAGATATGGGGATGTATGTATATGTATAGCTGATAAACTTTGTTATACAGCAGAAACTAACACACCATTGTAAAGCAATTATACTCCAAGAAAGATGTTAAAAAAAAGCAAAAACAAAAACCAGGGTTTTCCCTGACTGCTTATTACATCATACCTAACTTGGGGCAAAAATCTTTCCTGGCAGAGCATCTAACCGTATTTTTTTTGGGGGGGGGGGGGCTGCACCACTCGGCTTTCGGGGATCTTAGTTCCCCAACCAGGGATCGAACCCCAGGCCCCAGCAGTGAGAGCACCGAGTCCTAACCACTGGACCGCCAGGGGATTTCCTCTGAATTTTAAAGTTTAGCCCCCCTTTAAGCAGCCAAGTATTGGGAATGCTGTTTTGATGTTAGGAATGAATTTTTCAGTATCTTCCAGTAGCCTTTGCACCTTCCAGGCTGACTTAAAGGGGAAAGATGCAGAGCCCAGAATGTAGCAGAAGAGCCCTCCTCACTCCCAAAGTTCTGCCTCTTGGCCTGCCTTCCCCCTTCTCCCCTCATCCTCCCCCATCCCAGCAGTGGCCTCGGCCTCCAAGAACTCAGCAAAGGCAGCATTTTCAGGTGCCTTCTGTGCACCTCCAGGGCTTGAGGTGTTTTTTCCTCCCCAAGGCATAAAAAAAGTTTCCACTGTGAAAGATGCAAAGCCGTTTCATCTCACACTACCCAATTTTCTTCCTACCATGTATAGTTTGTGGATGTTAAATTATAGATTGCAGTTTAATTTGAATACTTTTGGAGTTCTTTACATTTGGGAGTTCTTCAGATATCACTTTGAGTAAACCAAAGGGAGCTCTCCACGAAGGCATTGGTATTCAGAAAAGGCACTGACCTACGAATTAAAATCAAAAGAAAAAGTCACTCAGATTATGTGCACCTCTTGCACTTCCAGACTGACAAAGTAGAAGTCATCTGTAGTTTCTGCCTCTGCAGATGCAGTTCTGAATTCTGTTTACCAGGGACAGTTCTCTGCCATGCCTTGGCTATCCTTTCTCATGTTCCTTTATTTTTTTCTTTTAGACCTGAACCTTTTACCTTTTTACCTCAAGGTTAAAATAAATATTCAGTAAATCTATATTCCTCCCCCCACACACCTTTTTTCTTTCTGGGTACCACCCTTCAGATCTTATTTTTATCATTTGTTAACTTAGTGTTCAACTTTTAGCAAGAAAAACTTAGGCATTGAACTTTGCATTGGGGTGCATTTATGTGTATATTAATTAGAAAACATGGAGATTCCACTTGAATTAAGTAAACTAACCCTTTGAAACTGTCAGCCAAATAAAGACATCAGCTTTCCACTGTTTTTTTTCTATATAAAAGCATATCCTACATCTTGAGAAAGATCAGATGAGAAAACTGTGAATAAGTGAAGATTATAGCACTGCTCTGAAATTGGCCAGAAAGAGTGCCTGCTTGTAGATATCCATACTGTTCTAAGCCTTTAGGAGGAAAGGATACTTTGAAATTTAGGTACATGTTTGGAAGAAACAAAAGGGAAAGAAGATGGAGAAAATGGGAAAAAAAAAAAAGATGATTTTTTTTTAAGAGTCGCAGAAGCATGCAGAGTTAGTTCTTAGGTATTTGTTCTAATTTATCTGCCAAACATTTTCTCAACAATCTACAAGAGGATACTATCTACTTTTCACCCTAAAAAAAAAAAAAAAAACTGATGGCAATTTTTGCCCAGTTTCCCAGGAGAAACTCAGTGTCAGCAATAGAAGAAGAGTGAGATATGATTGTGAGGCTGGACTTTAAGGAAACACTCAGATAAGCAAAGAGATATTTTTGCACACAAGAGGCAGTGATTATTATTAAGGAAAACAGAGAAAGTAAAAGTCGCTAACTTGAGAACACAAAGACAAGTCAATCCTGGCCTTGTTTTCCAGCCAAGATAATTACCCACAGCATGCATATTTCCATGCATGCTTGTCCAACTTGTCTGCTGCCCCACCATTTGGAAAACAAACAGCCCATTAAAGGAATGTCTTTGGATGTATTTTTTTCAGAAAATCTGTCCCTTTTTCAGTGCTTTTAAAAGTATAGAGTTAGTTGACAAAACTTTGATAATTAAAGTAGAGAAGGATTTACCTGGCAGAATTGTTTATGAAACATTTACGTTCCCTGCCCCTTGAACTGTGGAGGAATGAAAACGTCTCACTCCCCACCTCCTTTTCTCTTCTGGAACTTGACCTGTAATTTAAATCCTGTCCCTCAGCAAGGTACCTGGCAGCCTATCTTTTTACAGCTTTAGTTACAGCGCTCTTCAGAGAACTCACCATCCTAAAGAGATAGAACAATGGGTTGAAACAGAGTAGGGCATAGTCTGTTGGTAAAAAACAGACACTGAAAATGGTCAAATGTTCTGTCTTTCCTCCTCCTTCTTGCGGTGGGAAGGGCATCAAGCTGGTGGACCTGAACCAAGTCCTCACCTTAGGTCCTGAGCCGTCCCAGGCCCCTCAGAGAGCAGCAGGCACCTGTGAGTCCCTCTGTGCATTCAGAGTTCTTCTGCACCAGGGAGCTCGGTTGAAGAGTTTGACCAAGGTCGATGGTGGTGGTAATAACACATCCGTTCTTTCGGGTCGAGTACAAAATGATGGAGGAAAACTCCAGAATTGGAAGACTTGCATTCTAGTACAACCTTTTAAGCTCAAGCAAAGCTGAGGAAAAAAAAGGGGCGTGGGAGTCTCCTCTCCAAGTGTTTATAGAACTTGGATGCTTGACAAACAGGGAGCATCAAGGTAATTGTTTTTGAGGCAGGAAATCTATAGTAGAGGAAGCAGGTGCTGTGTGATGATTACCACGTTTTGAAATTACCGTATTTACTATTCTGCTTTTAGGAGGTTAACTCCAAAATAGTCAGGTTTTTGGAAGATGCTGTCCCTTTTATCTGTAGAATCAGACAAAATCCGTTAATTATAAAGGGAGGAGAAGGCACTTAAGTACATTGGAAACCAGAGGTCATACGTGCGGCAGTGTGGACGATATCCATCTTTCTTTATTTCTTTATTTTTTTCGTTTTGCCTTTCAGCATCCCATACTTTAAGAAAACTTGTGACTAAGGGTGAATTCTTATTTTCCAAATTGTTTTCAGACATTTCATGTTCATGTAAACTTGGCTTATTGATTTCCTGATTTTTTCTTTATTTTTTTGTTTTGTCCATTTTATTTTTAATCAGCTACATCAAATGGGTCTTTGGAGGGCCTGGATAACCAGGAGGGAGGGGTGTGCCAGACAAGAGCCATGAAGATCCTCATGAAAGTTGGACAAGGTAAAGACCGTCTGCTGCTTCACGGAGCCACTGATCTGGTCAAGCCCCCAGCTAGTATGGCGCCAGCGTTGCCCACACGTGCCTTCACTCACTCTGCAGTTTAGTTTCCAAAGTAAACTTTTCTCTGCACCTTGAGCCACTGACAGATTTCCTCAAGTTGTTGCAACCCACTTCTTTTACTGGAGATACTTCTAAAAGTTGAGGTCAGCCAGGTACAATGTCTATTGCCATGTCTGTATCTACAGATATATTTTTCCTTCTTAAAAGCAAAACACCTCTTTGGTTCACCATTAAAATATCCAGAATACAAACTAAGCTTCTGCCATTTTGCCCATTTCTGCATCTTGACTACAGAAGACTTGTGTTCACTGAGCCTTTTCACACAGAGATGACCTCTTGTGCAGAAAGAAATATTCTTCTAATTAGAAATTGGGATAGTAGTCAGTCAACTCACTCAGTTAAATTAAAATGTCATCTGCAGTGCTCTGCCTGCCAAATGCAAGAATCCCTACGGTTTCCACAGATGGCCTCACCATCTAAACCTCTGAAATAACTAGTAGAACCGTTTTGTTTTCAAAGGAAAATTATATTCTTGCATCTCACAGTACTTTGCATAAAGAATCTTATGTTCATTTCTATTTGTGCCTCTTGAGATATAGATCCAGCTCCTAAAGCTAGAGCCCATCAGATGTCTGTGCTGTAAGTAATCGCTTGTTTTTCATATAGATGCGAGTTCCGCTGGGTCAACCAGGCATAATGATCCAACAAGACGGCCAGAACTTGAAGCTGGTACAAATGGAAGAAGTTCAACAACAAGTCCTTTTGTCAAACCAAATCCAGGTATAGCAGCGTGACCCATGTGTGCCTAGGTCTGTGTGTTCCACACTGCTCGTATCACAGCAGGTAGAACAGAGTCCAAGTACTTCTGCACCAGGAGGATGAACTTGTAGCTCCCGCAGTCAGTAATCTTTGCTCTCGGTCAGTTGTTGTCAGTTACTCAACCAGAATAAAATAATTAATTCCCACAAAAGTCTTACATTCAAAAGAGTAGAATTCATCAGTTGTAAGTGCCAATTATTAGCACTGCTCTTTCAGATCAAAGCTATTTTCACTGGCTGACACTTTATCGTGCTGTTTGCAAACCTAGCTTCAAGCCAGTGTTAATGTATATATAACTGTACCAGTGCTTCATCTAGTCATATCTAATCCACAGAGAGCCTGACTGATCCTCTTCTACATTCAAGATGGTAACATCTTAAAATGTTGCGTAACGCCACATTTTTCAGGTGGTTTCGTCAAAATTTTTTTTTCACATTTTCAGTGTAGAATAATATATTAAACGGATTCCTGGCAGAAGTTTAGAATACTGGATAAAATTGACTGCCGTTTAACTTCGGTTTTTTAGCGGTCTTTGAACAAATAGCTATGTGTTTGTTACCACGGGAATGAATTTTTTATATGGTGGTCGCTGAGCAGACGTCAGCAGTTCCATATTAGGGATCCGCGTGCCTAGTTGGTAGTTGTGCGAATTTAGCATCTGTAGCAATATTCCATCTCTTTCCAAGCTTCAAGGAGGAAAGTTGTTATTTCTAACTTTCAATGACAAGATGTGTCAAATTCTTATGACAAACTGATAAATGGATAATATAATGATGCCAGGCAATTTTTTAGTGCTTAACATTTGGGTTGGCAGTCTGTTCCGTGTGAGAGTTTTTCTGCTGCCTTCCAAATATATTTTAAGTGTAAATCAAATAATACAAACGAGTTACGGGTTGAACGTTTTCCCAGGCCCCATCCCTCTTTGCAAGCTCTCCAGCCAGCCGTCGGCAGGGCTTGTCTTTAAAGGCAGGCGGTTTGGATATTCCCATGAAGCCACGGTAGCCAGAGAGGGCACGAGAACAGCATGGCCTGGGCGGCAGATGCTGACCTGGAGAATCGGCCGCTTCCCTTCTTCCTCCTGGTGGTGGCCGCAGGCTGGCTGACCTGGGTTAAGACGTGGGGCAAGATCAAGGGCTGGCTGTCACAACCTGTCCACACAGCTGATGGATGATGATGTATAGAAGGGAAGCAATGAGGTCTGGGAGCAGCATCAAAGTCCCACCTGGAGTCCCATCTCCCCGATGGCTGGCTTCTGCCGTTTGCATTTAGCTATTTTTTTAAATTGAAGTATAACTGATTTACAATGCCGTGTTAGTTTCAGGTGTACGGCACACTGATTCAGTTATATATATATATATATTCAGTTATGTATAGATATATTAGATATTCAGCTATATATACACACATATATTCTTTTTCCGATTCTTTTCCCTTATAAGTTATTACAAAATATTGAGTAGAATTCCCGGTGCTCTACAGTAGGTCCTTGTTGGTTATCTCTTTTATATATAGTAGTGTGTATCTGTTAATTCCCAACCTCCTAAATCTATCCCTGCATTTAGCTATTAAACGAGGCGCTTGGTTTGCCAGTCTAGCTGCCAGGGAAGTCTCTGGCCAGCCAGCAGCCGGCCAGCCCCAGCGAGAGCAGTGACTCTTCCGGCTGCTCTTTCCCACCCCCTGCAGGTTCCAGCACAGACGGCAACAGCGCCGGACATTCTGGGAACAATATCCTGGGTTCCGAAGTGGCCTTATTCGCAGGGATTGCTTCAGGGTGCATCATCTTCATCGTCATCATCATCACGCTGGTGGTCCTGTTGCTCAAGTACCGGAGACGGCACCGCAAGCACTCGCCGCAGCACACGGCCACGCTGTCGCTCAGCACGCTGGCCACGCCCAAGCGCGGCGGCAACAACAACGGCTCGGAGCCCAGCGACATCATCATCCCGCTGCGGACTGCGGACAGTGTCTTCTGCCCTCACTACGAGAAGGTCAGCGGGGACTACGGGCATCCCGTGTACATAGTCCAGGAGATGCCACCGCAGAGCCCGGCGAACATTTACTACAAGGTCTGAGCCTCGGCGGTGCCTTCGCTTTCCCGGAGGAAACTTACTGTCCCGCTGCCGCCCGCGGAGGGTCCGAGGCCCCCTGTGTCTGCGACGGACTGGCGCACAGCGGGGAGAGGGGACACTCCTTCTCGGGAGAGCCCTGTGGAGTCGGACAGCTTACTAGTCTGTAGCGTTTCGGCCACGGTGACGAAGGATGCGCCCTGGCAGCTGGAAGACTCGCGTGGAAGATGCGTGTGGGGACCGCGCGCGCCCCGCCCCTCTCCTCTTCTGGGTACCAGGGGCGTTCGGGCCTCCGCAGGAGCCGAGGGGAGACAGAGCGGTCGGTGGGCGGGAGCATCCCGGGCAGGTGTCCCGGGTCCCCCAGGCTGCTGGGCCTGGAAAGGCCGTCCTCCGCCTCGGGCGTGGCCCTTCCCGCCGAGCTGCACCCCGGACTTGTCGCACAGACTCTGGCCGCGTGAGGCTCTCGGAGAGCGCTAGCTTTTAGTCCTCACTGTTGCACACACTCCTGTCATCCAGGGCGCTGCAGGCCTTCACATGAGATTTCTTCTCAAACCACACTCCGTATCACTAATGAGACATTAATAACGTTTGGCGTCTCCTGCTTCATCTGTTTGCAGCAGCTACCGCCGAATGGGCGATACAAGGATAGAAATTTTGTTTGCTAATAAGGAGCCTTCCAGTCAGATACTAGGCTGTCAGCCCGGGAAGGTGAGGAGTTCACGGGAGGGAGGGCCGGGGGAAAGGCCGTCTGCAAAGGCAGTTCAGCGCTGCCACCTCTGAGACAGAGTTGGGAGGGAAAACTCCAATTAGATAGCACAGCACTTTGGTTTTGCTAAGATTTTAAGAGGCAAGTAGGAGACACAACGACACGCACGGTAGATTAGGGTGCATTTGAAGGAATTCACTCTTATCAAAGAGCAATGCACAGGAAAAAAAGAAAAAGAAATAGTCCCTCTACGCTGGGTGGAACAAAGGGGCATTGTTGGTAGAGGGCCAGGCTTGGAGGGATGGATGGACACCGGCAGGACTCTCGTGGTACTGGCAATAGGATGTACAGCGGTGAAGCTGTAGGAAAGTCGTCGGTCTGCTTTGGGTGATGTTTAAGGCAGACTCAGCTGCTATACTTATCACATTTTATTCAACACAGGGAGAGCATTTAGGAGATTAGCAGAGAGCCAAATCTGACCTAGAAGTTTAAAAGCCAAAGGTCACACAGGCTGTAATTCCATCATCATCGACGTTATTAAGGCATTCTCATATATAAAAGGTAGGTCAGACTCCCCGGCCCCCCCCAATGCCCCTTCCCCGCCGCTCCCTTCCCCACTGCGCCTTAGGACACTTTGGTTTATGGCGGTGCTGTCCTGGCCGCGAGGGCCAAGGGGTAGGTACTGAGCGAGGCCACAGCTCGGGGCCCTGTATCAAGGTGAGGCACACATGGCAAACCTCTTAGAGTCCCGAGGACCGAAATAAATTATGATGTCGAGGGGGAGAAGGAAGGTAGGATGTATTTATAATAGATATATAGAACACAAGGGATATAAAGTGAAAGATTTTTACTAATATATATTTTAAGATTGCACACAATCCACACCAGAAGATGGGAAATTCATTTGTGGCGATTAAGTGGTCCCAATGCTCCGTGCTTTAAAAAAAAAAAAATTGGACAGCTACTTCTGGGAAAAACAACATCACTCCAAAAATAACAATAATGGGAGCAAACACAAAAATAACCCAGTCCTCTGAAGGCATCTTGCGTCACCGTAGATTAGGAAATGCAAGCCCCAAATACCAGGAAATCGGTGTTACTGCATCGTTTTCAACAATGACAAGATGTACCGGCATTTATTTTCTGTGCTGTGTTTTCCCTTGCCCTGTGGGCTGAAGTGTTCGCTAGAATCCACCGGGTCACATCGAGGGGGTTTCAGCTGAAAGTTCACCCTGACCCCCTTCCTTCCTCTCTCCGCCTCCCCTCACCCCCTCCCTTCTGGGAAAAGAAGTGAGTAAACAGGAAACCTACTTTTTATGTGCTATGCAAAATAGACATCTTTTAACATAGTCCTGTTACTATGGTAACACTTTGCTTTCTGAATTGGGAGAAAAGAATAAACGTAGCAACAGCATTTTAAGGTTCTCAAACCTCCAGTGAATACCTGCAAAAATGAGTTGTCACAGAAATTCTTCTCTATTTCCTGAACCTGAAAATGATGTTGGTCCAAAGTGCGTGTGTTTATGCGTGAGTGGGTGTGTGGTATACGTGTATATATATGTATAATATATATCTTCAATATATATTATATATATCTATATCATATTTCTGTGGAAGGTTGCCATGGTGATCGGCCACAGTACATATGTAATTCTTTCCATCACCCTAACCTCTCCTGTACGTGCATTCGTACAAGATTTTCTTGTGAGCCATCAAAAATTACCTTTAGGGTGGGGGAGAGGGGCAAGAAGGGGAAAAATGGGAAATAGTCTGATTTTAATGAAATCAAAGGTGTGTATCATCGGTTGGCTACATTTTGGGTATATGCTAAACTGTGAAGAATCAGATGAATTGTTGAAGAGTTGCCTGCAAGCAATTGACCAGTGTTCTGTACGTCTGTTTTGTGTGTGGTGCAGAATATGACAATCTACCAACTGTCCCTTTATTTGAAGTTGGTTCAGCTTTGGAAAGTTACTGTAAATGCCTTCCTTGTATTCTCATCCCTAGTCATCCGACTTTGGAATTTGCACCATAATGTTTAAGTGAAGATGCTGTAAATAGGTTCAGATTTTACTGTATATGGATTTGGGGTGTTACAGTAGCCTTATTCACCTTTTTAATAAAAATACACATGAAAACAAGACAGAAATGGCTTTTCTTACCCAGATTGTGTACATAGAGCAATGTTGGTTTTTTATAAAGTCTAAGCAAGATGTTTTGTATAAAATCTGAATTTTGCAATGTATTTAGCTACAGCTTGTTAAACGGCAGTGTCATTCCCCTTTGCACTGTAATGAGGAAAAAAAATGGTATAAAAGGTTGCCAAATTGCTGCATATTTGTGCCGTAATTATGTACCATGAATATTTATTTAAAATTTCGTTGTCCAATTTGTAAGTAACGCAGTATTATGCTTGAGTTATAAATATTTTTTCTTTTCTTTGTTTTATTTTGATAGCCTGTCATAAGTTTTTGATCTGCTTTAGTTCCACATTGCAGTTAGCCCCCCGAAAATGAAATCCGTAAAGTCACATTCCAAATCTGTTTCAAACTGAATTTGTTCTTAAAAAAATAAAATACTTTTTTCCTATGGAAAAAGCGCCTTCAAAGTATTTTCCTTTCCTTCTTGTTTTCTTTTCCTTTTTCTTTCTTTTTCGTTTGTTATTTTAATTTGCCTTCTCTGTTTCTCTGTGATTACAGTTATCAAGACCCTTCTGCCCACGGGCATGTGTATGCCCATTTTTCAAATCAGGCCGTGCACACAGGTGAAGGGTAATCTTGCGGTGTTGCAGCATGAGCCCAGTGGTTTCCCCATAAATCTTTTGAACTCACGTTTTAGCATAAAGTTTTATAAAATCCTCTTCGTCCTGAGCAGTTTGACCTGCACTGAGTGAAAGTAGCCAGGAGAAGAAGAGGGACTTTTATCCCAACGCTTAGTTCAAGACGATCTAGTTTCCATTCAAGCAGAGCAGTTTGCTATCGACTGCTTTACTTTTCTTCACAAAATAATCCCAGGAGGAAGGAAAAAGTCTTAACGTACCGCAACATGGGTGAAAGCGTGTGTTGTGATACTGGATTGAGGCAAGTCAGGGGCCAGTGGTGAATTTAACCACCCTTTTCATTGTTGCCTTCCTGGGGAAAGTGACCAGGTGCCCTGAGTGTTTTCCCCACTCTTGTTTTTGAGGTCTTAAGATTGATCATCGGACACCCACCCTCATCTTCCTATGAGATCTGAGGGCAGGGCTGTGGTCACGGCAGAAGCAACTACTAGTCACCATGAAGTGCCCAGATCTCTAGCTGCATTAACTCTGGTTAATCCTTACCTTAAGGAGTGAAGTATTTTAGGTTGGGAGGATGAGAAAGGGCCCCTGAAGTAAGGAGCCAGAGATTGTTCCAGCCCAGACTGATTTGCCCAAGATCACAGCCCCAGTAAATGAAGAATCTGTGTGTTTCAAAAGCCCCTCAGGAGATTCTCATGAAAGACTGCATCTCTGCAGCACTGGCCCAGCAGACTTGTACTAAAGGAATGTTTGTCGAACAAATGCTCTCCTTCCAAAAACCGAAAACAAAATTCTCCAGAGGCCCGCAGTTTCAGCTGATGCTTGAATAGTAGTTTCATTTTCTCCATCACATTATTTCACTGTCCCTAACCGCCCGTTCGCTGCAAATCCAAGTTTCGGGGCACGGTATACAGCCACGTCACTAAGCTGAATGCTGGACCCCACCTACCAGGGTCACAAATGATTAGTCTGAGTAAACGAAAACAATGACGAAATATTGCATTTACAACTTTGACTTCGTGACCCCTGTTACGATTTAAGTGTCATCTTTTCCACCTTGTTTTTGAAACCACACTTTCCCAACTGAATAAGCCAACCTCAACTGAGAAGAATAAAATGTGCCCGTTGTTTATTCTTTTCAACTAGCGAAAAGGAATCTCACGTACAGAAACTTCTCGCAGAGGTTGTAAAAGCAGCCGCTCCTCGTTTTGTTTGAAAAGTGGCCCTGCTGTTGAAACATCCCTGCCCTGCGTTGCTAAGTGTTGACCGGCCAGCTGGTAACTCTTCGGAACATCTCTCACTGTTGTCCATTTCCTTTTCGGTGAAAACAGTTTGCCCGTTCAAACACTGTGATAAAGGTTCACAATGGAAATGAGAAAAAAAAATCAATAAAATATCAGTGTCAGGACTCTGCAGCTTGCTGTCAGTCTCTGGACCCAACCCAGAGAAGAATCAGCGAAAGAAGAAAACAAATAAAACCCAGGGGCTTCCCTGGTGGCGCAGTGGTTGAGAGTCCGCCTGCCGATGCAGGGGACGCGGATTCGTGCCCCGGTCCGGGAAGATCCCACATGCCGCGGAGCAGCTGGGCCCGTGAGCCATGGCCGCTGAGCCTGCGCGTCCGGAGCCTGTGCTCCGCAACGGGAGAGGCCACAACGGTGAGAGGCCCACGTACCACAAAAAATAATAAAGTAAAATAAAACCCAGAGGAGTAAAACTGACTTCCTATTATATGCAGAAAAGGATGATTACCCCACTTTTTGGTTGGGTAGCAAATAGGTCTTCAGGTGGTCCAAAAGGAGACATAATTGCTTCTGTAGTACAGAGGACCTGGATGTTCTTTTGTTTCTGTTTTCAATGAATTTGGGATTATGTTTGTGATATTTACACAATAGACGTCCTCGAAGGCAAATGTTCTGTGTTGTAATAGAAGAGTATTTCCTACCCCTCATTTTTCCAGGTAGAGAATGATTTATCAAAGATTGGGGGGATATTAAAATATTGTATTTTTGTAGTAAAGTATAGCATACCAGGGAGACGAATCAATTTTTTAGTGATTAAACTGTGCCCCCAAAGCTGAAGATATATTCATCTCAAGATTTTTATACTGTGGTAAACGGACTGACTAATGGAACCTCTTAGAAACAATTCTTCATATGGAGTTAATTATATTTTATTTTATCAAATATCTTTATTAGAATATAATTGCCCTACGATGTTGTGTTAGTTCCTGCTGTACAGCAAAGTGAATCAGCCATATGTACACATATATCCCCATATCCCCTCCCTCTTGAGCCTCCCTCCCACCCTCCCTATCCCACCCCTCTAGGTGGTCACAAAGCAGCGAGCTGAGTTGATAGTGTATATATGTCAATGCTACTCTCTCACTTTGTCCCAGCTTCCCCTTAATTATATTTTAAGAAACAGCCAACCTCCTCACAAAAAATCTCCAGAGACATAAGTACACAGCTTGAGAAATAATGATACCCACACAGTTTATGGACAATCATAAATTGTTGATAAATGTGTCCAATGAATGAAAGTGAGACCTGGCTTCCTGCTCTCTTCCTGCTACTGTTGTCTCCATGGCCTTTTAGCAAATTGCTTTGTGTTCTGCACCCCAGATCCTCACCTATAAAGCGAGAGGGTGGGCCTCCAACACACTGAAGGTTACTTTCAACTTTTTATAGGATTTGAAGCAAAGCCATCAGTCTTTTCAGCTGTTCAAAAGCATCTCGATGCAAGCTTCTATTTGTCCTGGCATCCTACGGGCAAAGCTCTGAAGACTGTTCACAGCCAAACCCCACCCCGCTTTGGGCTGCACTTGACCGTTCACCCCCTCCGCATCAAGAGCCCGCATCCGGACTCTGAGCTCTGCTGTTCTCCACCCCTTCCTTGCATTAAATCTCAGAAAGATCCAATAACTAAGCATCTACACATACTGATTGAACTGGGAGCCCTGTTCTTGTGTTTTCAGGCTTTTATCCATAATTTTTAAGTACAGGCGCACCTCAGAGATATTTCGGGTTTGGGTCCAAACCAAAACAAAGCAAATACCGCAATAAAGCGAGTCACATGAATTGTTTGAGTTTCCAGTGCATATAAACGTTATATTTACACTATACTGTAGTCTAGTAAGTGTGCAATAGCATTATGTCTTAAAAAATGTATAGACCTTAATTTAAAAATTGCTTTATGGCTAAAAAAAAAAAAAGGCCAACACAATTATAATAGTAACATCAAAGATCACTGACCACAAATCACCATAACAAATACAACAATAATGAAAAAGTTTGAAATATTGTAAGAATTACCAAAATGTAACATAGAGACATGAAGTGAGCAAATGCTGTTAGAAAAATGGCTCCGATAGACTTGCTTGACTCAGGGTTGCCCCAAACCTTCAGTTTGTAAAACAGGCAAGCCAAGCGCAGTGAAACGAGGCATGCCTGTAACTCTTTTGTCTTTATTTAAAAACATTGTCAGGACACTGCAAGCAGGCCCCCAGCTTCTATTTAAACATTTCTCGAGGGTCCACCAGGGGCCAGGCAATGTGTTAGCTGTTGGCAATGTTCTCTTCCACCAGTTAAATGAGCCCAAGTTTGCTTTGTC